AAAATACTATCATACCCGTCGTATAGCACGTTGAATCCCGTGACAGCGGCTTCAAACTTGTGAAGGTCTGCTAAAGTCAGCAACTAGGTAGGATAAGCGCTTCTTGGCAAGAAGAAGTACCTTTGACAGTCGCAAAGTCAAACCGGCGGACCATTGGCTTCACCATCGCGACCTGCATGAAATCCGCAAAACGGTCTGGCATTTCAGGAGTTGTGAGATTCTCGGCGATTGAAACGGTCAGATCATGTTGTCCGGGCCGATACAGACTAAGGCCCGTACGGTTGTTGATTTCCAGTCCCAATTTCAACTCTCCAGGCCCTAACGCAGTATTAGCAGTAGCTCAGCGAGACCGGATTATGCGACATACCAAGGTTGATACGGTCCGTTACAGATCCCCATTCTGTCGCCACGAAAGCCCGTAGATGTTCGGAGAGAATAGTTGGGCCATATTGATGGTCGACAAAAGCGTGCTCCTGGTCAATAACCGACACACTACCAGCAGGAAATTGTAAGTGGGCTGTCTCCGGCTGACCGTTGAATCGATCAGCTGGCTGTTCGATCGAGTAGGCGCGGATAGGAATGTCAGGTGTCTTAATCTCCCCTTCTTTGGTTGTCATCCCAAGTAGGAGAGAATGCAGGACACTACGCTCCTCGACGTCGTGAAACGTCATTAGCATGGAACGACTCCTGCCATCCTGTTTGACTTTGAGCATGAGAGCCGGTGCTCCATCTTCGCCTCTGAGAAGACCAAACACGATTGGTGCATTATGACCAATGATGTGGCTTACGTTACTGAGCGTCTTGACCTTGGGGCTTGTGAGAACTGCGATACGGTAGCCTTGGTGTAATTCGCGGCTACCAGTGCCCTCGGTCACGGTCATGGAGCGCTCAAACAGCCGAACGCGGCAGCGCTCAATAGGTTCGGCAGGGAACGCCTTGCTCTTGCTAGGATCCATGTATTGGAAAACCTTCAGGGTTGTTTCATAGATTGTAGTCTCATCGGATTTCGGCTGCAAACTAGCTTCGGTTTGCTGTGTATATTGCACAATGTTCCACAGATTTTTGAAATCATCCTCTTGGAACATAACATCCAACTGGAACCCACGGGGAAGTTTTACCTGCATGAAGCTTGATCGCACGCGCCAGTGCACATCTTTCCATGTAGGGCCCTTTTTCTTATCTGACTGTATCATGACATTGACCAATTCATTCTGACTGGTAATTGAGGCAAACACGTACCAGTCGGCCCGGTCACGGATAATTGACAATACGCACGGCAGAGGTTCGTTATGGTGAGTACCATCCTCACTTGAGCTCACCATAACCTTCACAAACATGCTTCCATAGCTGAAATATCGGCTTGTATCACCTAGTGGCATAGTCTGTACCAGATTCGGCCCTTCTCCAGATTTGTCGACCAACATAGACCTCGTGGCAGTGCCAGAAAGGATCGCTGAGACATCTGGAGCAAAGGCAGGATACTTCAACCACATACTGGTGTCAGCCTGGATTCCTGCACCGCCTGTGGCATCAATTGAGGTAATAATATTGTTCCTTTTGATAGACATCGCCAAAGAGCGCAAGTGATTTAAGATCGTTTGGTGCAAGCCCAGGAGGTCAGCTAAGCGTTTGTCGCCGGTTGTGTTTGCTACTGCTAGCAAGGCGTCGACGCTCATCGCGCCGTAACGGGCTAACTCGTTGTGTTTAGGAATAACGTTTTCACATATCCACAATGCTTTACCCAGATCAACCACGGCCTGTTTCGCGGTTTCCGTAGAGCTTGACTGCTGCGGACTGGAACCGGAGCTCGAGGGGCGAGATCGTGCGTACACCTCAAGTGTTTTCTTCCCGCGCATAAACCACCATACTGCAGCCCTCACCCACTCTGTGAGCGAATACTCCATCAAGGACTTCTTCCTCTCTGCATCATGTCTAATGAGGCTTTCGTGCTGCGCTACAAAAGCCTTGAGGTCCGTGAAAGCAGCGTCACCAAACTGGTTAGCGATAGATCGTAAGGACATCTTGGGAACTTGAGGGTTTCGTGGAGCGTCACGACTGTCTCGACTGCTCGGGCGACCTGGGCTATCCATGGCAGAGTCCCTCGAAGGAGGCAGCGGTTTTGGAGGCGAGGTGCTCATCGTCACACTAGCGGGGGTGAGGCCAGAAGGTAACGTAGGCTCAATCGGCGGAGAAACTGGTCCTCGCGATGGGGGGCTGGCAGGGCTTCGGAAAGGGTTGGCTTCTGGTTCGGCCTCGTCTTCTGAAATCGGAGGCGTTTCATACTCGGAGCTTGGACTATCGGGCACTGCTGGGGCCACTGGGGCCACTGGAATTGGCCCTTGCCTTCCTTATTGTCATTACTCGGTGACGGGGGATCTTGATAACGATGTTGCAGAGCACGACCTTCCTCAGCTTGCATCCTATCCCGGACTCGCTGCGCAAACGTACTGGATTCTGGCGACGCTCGGAATGACAAGCGAGACCCGGGCTGGCCCATGTTTAGTGTCATGAGAAAATCCGAATCCTGAGGACTCTGTAAAAACAACGGCTTGGTCGCTGCGGGGTTGATCTTGTCTTGCGTGTTCGTACGCTGATGCCGTGATGCAAACCCGCCTCCCAAAGAGGTATCGAGGTGAAGCTGAGGGAGTGTTGGTTGACGAGAATCCAGCCTGTCTCCTTGTTGACTTGACCCGTGACTGTTTTGACGATTGCGATTCTTGGATATCACCACCGTGGGCGTTTCCGATTCGTCACCACCCTCACCGATCAGCTCGGGCGCCCTCTCAGTGAACTTGACTCGCAGGCCTTTCCGAGCGGGGTTTTTCGGGGGAGCCCTTGGAAAGCTCATCGATGGGTAGCTATCGGTAGCCGAAGCGGGTTTCGCGATGGGAGAGGCTTCTGAAACATCTTGGGATGACGATGACTGCCACCGTTGTGAGACATCTAAACGTGGCGTTGGAAGTCCCCGCGAAGCCCCAGCAGTCGAGTGAGCTCCATGAGATCCATACGATACAGTATTCGAACGAACGGGGGCTAGAAACGACTCAATCTGCTGGTCGGTCGCACCCCCACCCCTGCACCGCTGTCAACCGCGCCCTTACTTTGTTTATCCTTCGAAAATAGTTTTTCTCGCCATCGAGGCTTCGTAGTCGGTTTCCGCTGGGGAGTGGCTTTGGTGTCACCCAGGAAGGCGAAAGGGTCATCTGTAGACATATTCACTATGTTTGTCACTGATAGTTGGTATCGTGCTCTATAGAAGCATGGCAAGTTTGGTGAGATCAGACGATAAGGGTCTTTAGGCCTTGTCTGTACTTTCCCCCGCCAAATCTGACGTTATAGTGCTTGTGCGCCGACAGGGGATCGACAGGGGGACTAAGCTAGTCCTAGCGTTGCGATTTGGTGTGGTCACGCAAATGCCTTTCAGGTCCAGGGAGATTTAAGGAATTGCGACTCGGAGAACAGCCAAGGATGACAAGTAGCGGCGGGGTAGAAGAACGGCTGTTACCCTGGTAGAACGTTATCCTATCCCAGGAAAATGTTGTTTGAGAGCGATCGGGGAGTCCAGGCGGAACGGGGAGGCGAGAGGTGATAATAAAACGCTCAGGGTCGGACAGCTTCCAGCGCAGAAATTCGTCACCAGGTGAACTGGTACTATCGGGGGCTAGGAGACAGGCGTGATTGCCTTCGTTGTTTAGTGGAGTAGGGGACCGGCGATCTGCCAAAACCAATCAATTAGAACGACCATTCACAGACGGAGTTGGCGACCAAGCGGCATTAGAGCAGTGCTCAGGGGGAGCATGGAAATTAGGCCATGGAGCTAGACAAACCTAAGGTCCAAGGCGTTTAGATAAATCTGCTGAAGTCCCGCGCCCCAATTGCGCACGAGGGGGGGCGTATCTGGAGTGGAAGTGGAGGAGGAAGTGGGCTATTGAGTAAGTGACCGACGATAAAGTATCAAGCTGAGCCAGCAGCTCTCTTTGTTCCTCGGACGGCTGTAGACGACGAAGAAGGAGAAGCCCGCTCTTCAGAACAAAAGGATACTACGAATAGTAAGTCAGGGAAGACAAAGAAAGAAAGAAAGAAATCGAGAAGAGAGCCAGAGGAAAAGGCCGCGCGAGGGAGTATGAAAGTGGACATGGTACGACCTCCGTGCTATTAAACATGTCGCCGACCGAAAGGCGGGTAAACTTGCTGTAATACTGACTGGGTGGACAGTAAACTTGGCCTAAGGCCGCTTCTCCGCAATACTAAGTCAGGGAACTCCCCAATCTCAAGACTATCCAGCCATTCACATTCGACCGACTGTCCTACACTAGATTACATTCCGGACGGTAATGGTTTAGCCTTATCATTCTCGACGCACAATGGTTCGTTCCTAATGCACATCGGTTTTCATAAAATGAGAATGTCTTACACTAGTTCGTTTTTTTAAATAATAATCCTACTATTTAGGACTAGTCAGAGCAGTAAGTAGTAGGAAATACCAGAAAACGAGACGAAGGATGATTGTTTAATTGTTGAATGATGATCACGTGGGCTCTGTCCGGGAGAAGACACTGTCATTTAATTACATACATACATACTCCATACATACCATACCGCAATGTCAGAGTTCAAGCAAAGAGATTGGACTTACTGTAGGTTCGCAATAGTACGTACTCCTACAGGGGACCCTAACCTTAGGTTAGGTAGGTATCCTTTACTTGCAACCAGGTCCCATGATTCGCGTAATCTTAAGCACTCAGGATTCCTGCACCGCCTCTTTCTAAAACCGCCAGCTATTCATGTCTCAGGAGAAGATCCTCCCAACCTCCTCGACCACTATGTACCCTTGGGATAAAATAATAATATGGTCAAGCCAACTGAAGGCCACTGGTCATCACACGAGCGGCAAGTGAAACCCCTACCTATGGGGTCGTGCGACTAGGTTAAAATGGATCACGGGAACTGACATGGTCCCTACACAATGCAAGAATGGTAGTTGATATTTACTCCATACTAGAAGTACTTAGTAGGACCATCCATCATTAGTAGCTGTAAGTTTACCGGAATCCCTGCCGCTTTATCAAGGGAACTTGAACACATTCACCATTTTCCCGTCTCTGAACCAATCATGAAACAGTCCCACTCCCCTCCTGGACTTTCACAAGCCCTCATCTTGAAACAACACTAGACCTATCTGGCATGGGCCCCGCATTGCTCTAACCCCCTTTGGGACAAAGTTGCTGATTATCGAGTGGACCGCTGACGACCCCAAAAAGCCGCCCTAACCTTGGAAGCACCCATGCTAGGGGGTGAAAGAGATGGAAACTCCCATTGTCCGATTCATCATTTGATATCCTCAGGGTTCATGATATAACATATGTCCATACATACAGACCAGATGACAAGATATAAACACCTAGAAAAACACCCTCATTTGAAACAATCCAACCTTGAAACCCTACAGAACTAGCTACCCTCTTACTGGGACAATTCCAAGTTAACCATGGATGCCTAGGACCGAGGAAAAGATCGATGGGGGTCTCAGTGGGCACCGCGGACGATGTTGCACTTCAATGACGGTCCCGCCACGTTGATGTTCGCTTATTTTATTATTTTATTTTATTTTTATTATTTATTATTTATTATGAAATTGTTTATTTTTTGATTTTTTCGATTTTTTCTTTTTTTTCAGATCCTTCATTTTCTTCCATTAGAGGACAATCGTAAGTAAACAAAAAATTCCCTCCAGGTCCGAATGATTGACATGCTATGAGCTGGCTTATTCCCGCGGTTAGTACGCGAATGAGCCAAATAACGTCACATTAAATTTGATCAATTAACACTGGGCACGTCCCTCTATTTCGTATCCTCTGTGGTCTTAATACTTAATACCCGAGCTATAATTCCATAGTGATAATGTCTTACCGTCTGGATATTTCCAGAGCGACAGCGCAAGCCACAAAAAATTTCACACCAAAATTCAAACAGCTAGAAGTCATACTAGCCCTGTTCTATGCTACATCTGAAACTCCTTTGACAGACTACTGATCGGGCATGGGATGAGCCCTGAAACACCAGACATGTCTTTGATGGATGACAGCAAAAGCTTGGCAGGGACAATTTTTATTCACTTATGAGGGAAAAGCCAACAGGGAAACGGTCCTCTCGCATTCACACTTCTTGTAATCTAGCCATATACCATGAGCTTTGATTGTCTTCTTGGAGCACCTTTCTACCTACGGAGCTCCTCGGTCACGTAAACCCATCAAGAAAAAGAAAAAGTACCAAAAGAACACAAGTAGGGTATGATCGATCCCTTGCTGACGGCAACGCCCTATGGAGACCCGCCAACGATGCGCCCTAAAAGGCATCATGTCCAGTGCCTGGTTTCCAAAGGAGCCGAGTATCAAATGAGCCAAGATCGGTAGGTGTCTGTCCATAACCTCGGCTTTCCTCTTCCATCCTTCCCGGCGCATTCTGCGGCCTATAACTAGCCACATAACTTTGAATGCCAAACCACAATCCGCTAGTCATGTCATGGCATATCTTGGACCTCTTCAGGAGGCGAGGTAGGGTCAGAGTTCATACTTAATGGTAAGGAATAGTTTCGTAATGGTTTAACATCCTCTTGACAGTTGTCATCTTGGATGGGTCATGTCATTACAGTTAATGTTGACACCTTAAAACGATCTTATTGCACACAGTACATGAGCTTTGGATTGAGGAAGAAGTATTGTGGATTTTATTATGTTTTATTCTTTTAAGAAAAAGTATTCTTATAATTAAAATTATATATGGACTATATGCGATATATGGTAATTCGCCCTAGACTCTACCTAAAGAAATAAAAACGAAAAGAAAAGAATAAAGAACAAATACGAGTAGTTTGGTTCGATTCCATGTTCTGAGAAGTGTACGTATGTACATACGTACCCATGTAGTCACTTTGCCATACTAAGTTTTAAGAGCCAACACGTCTCCCAATTGCGGTTTGCCCGTCTTGTCGCTTCCCCAGGTGTGGTCCACGGCGCTAACATGTTGGGAGCGTCCAATACATATGCAGTAGGCAGCGACATTTTGAACCCCTTAATTAAGAAGAGGGACAGAAATTCCCATTCAACAAACATGGGAGTGCTGTGGAAAGATCTTTGGCGGTAGAAACAGCGTTTTGCAGTGGTTGGTGCTCTGTATGCAGAACGGCATCATTCAATTGAAGTTTATATACAACCCGATGCAAGGAGACAAAGTGTTAGTACCGAGCCGATTTGATACCGTTGAATAGTTATGTAGTTAGTCATTAACGGTTACTATGTTTACACGGCTGATTGTCAATGCTTAGATGATTAAATACCAATCAATCACTGGGAAGTAGTAATTAGAACGCTGAGAACAAGAATCCACCAACTCTTTGGCTCTCTGTGTTTTCAGTGGTTTTAGCAGGGCTATAGTAGCAACGGTTGAAATTTCTAAGCATGACACATTTAATACAGCTCCGGATCTAGCACGTGCAATAAATCGAGAGATTCAGGCTACCAGAGATACAAACGCATTTACAGCACAGACAGAAAATCTTTAACATGCGCCTCGGGAGCTTGTCGAATAAACTGAGGGCATACAGTCAATGTCCCATTCCCGATGTCGGGGAAAGCCCGGTATACATGTGCGTACATAGAGAGAAATATATATCTGGGCTTCAATCCACTCTCTGACATGGTAGCACAACGATGTTTTGTTTTTGAAGAATACGATCGCCGGGAAAACTGATCTTACGCATTTTCAGTTGCGTTCGAGCCCACTCACATGCATGCAAACTTGTAGGTAGCCCATCACAGGAAAAAACACGAGGGGCAGCGACCAATGGATTTCGGCATCATCAGCAAGGAGGATTTGCGGTCGATAGAATAATTTTGACGCATAAATTCCTCTGACAGCGACCATAACCTCTCTTCTTGGAGTTTCCACCGTGAGCACTAAGCTAAGTCGACTAGTAAGTGGGTTCCTTAAGAGGTATCCATACGAGGGTCCAGAGCCGGTTAATTCTGGTTGGTCACCATAGACGGTGGGAGTTCGATCGGCTCTATCGACTATCGACCGATCCTCAGACTCTGTGAAACCGGAGTTAGAATAGATATCAAACTACACAGTACATCCCTCATCTTCAAAGGGAAAATCATTCCACAATGGCCATATAACGTAATGACCATAATACCAATAGTAACAACAATAGG